ATTTTATACTTTATTAATAGTTGTTGAATTTAATTGAAAAAGTAAATCAAATTTGTCTACTGAACAAAAAATTTCTTTTAATATTTTTGGATGAAAAATTGTTATCTAAATAAAAATAAATTTATATTTAAATTTAAAACAAAAAAAAAAATTTATTGTTTTACTTTAATAGCTTTTGCTAATAAATAAACTTCTTCATTAGTTAAATTTATAAATGAATTTGTTGAAATAATTTTTCCAATTATTTCTTTTACATTGAAAAATTCTTCTTCTTGCAATGATATTTGTAAAAGTGAATAATAATCAAATATATCAAAATTATCTTCATTATTATTTTGAGAATTCTTATTTGAATCTCGAAATACATGTGGAGATGCATATGGTATCTATTTAAAATAAAACAGAAAATAAAAACAAGTTAATTTATCGATTCATTTTAATTCAATTGAAATTAGAAATGTGGTTAGAAAGAAGAAGAAAACAAATGTTATTCGAGTGTAAAACATTCAAAAAAAAAACGAGAAATATATAATTTATCGTCTTTATCACAGCAAAAAATTTTCACCTACTGTTAAATCTCTTTTTTTTCTTTGCTGAAAAGTATATATATACATAAATTATATATTTGTTTTTCTTTAGGTTTTGTTTTTTTTTAATTACCTGATTAACAGCAACAGCTGTATGATTTAGTAGATGTTCACATTCTTCGTTTGTATAATTTAGTTGTATAACAAAAAAAGAACAGATTATTGTTAAATTTTTAGTAAATGAATACGTTAAATTTGATAAACTATCATAAACAAATGTTGGACGATCAATTAATGTTTCATACATATCAGGTAAAGAATCAATATCAAACATAGAAAAATTTTGTGTAAAAAATGGATTTGTTCGAGAGATTCGATCGATTGTCATTAGCATGTCTGTAGATCTAAAAAAAACATGACTAAATTATGCTTTGTTTTTTTGTTTAATTAAACTTCAATACATACGTTCCATTTGGAAAAATACTAAAACCTTGTTCATTACTAGGACCTGTTTTAGGACAAAATGATTGAAGAATTGAAAAGACTCCTGCCGATGGAAATGGTGTAGCACGATATGTATGATCAAGAAAATTCGGAGTATAATTAGCTAAAAATAAAAATAATAGTTTAATATTTTTTTTTATAAATTTAAAATTACTTTGTAGATGAAATGATGCTTGTTGTGTTTTTCTTATTGCAGTCATAACAAGAAAAAGAACTAATGGAATAATAAGTTCGAATAGAAGAACGAACTAATTAAATTAATTTTGATTTATAATTACAAAATTATTCTTATTTTAAAAAATATAACTTACAGGACTGCGTTTTTTTAAAATGTAATTTTTCCATAGAAGAACTTTTAATTGATGAAGAAAAAGCATTTTAATATAATAAAATATAATGGCTAAAGATTATTTCATCTAGAACAAATAACAAAAAAATAATATATATATATCTATATTTTTTTTTTATCTTTTAAAGACTAAAGAATGTTTGATTAATAGAAGAATTATTAGTTTGTTGATCATTCGATTCAGATTGTGTATGAAGAAATGATTGTAATAAACCAAGACCAGGACGATTATTCAAACCAGATTTAAATTGTGTTACACTACATTCTACACATTGTTTATAAGTACTAATATATAAGAAAGAAAAGAAAAACAAATCTAATTAAATATTAATCATAATAATAAGAAAAAAGAAAATAGAATATTCGTACGATAAAAGTGATGGATGAATAAATTTTTTGAAATTTTCATTTGCTTCATCAAGTGCATGTAATTCCAAAAAAGATCCTTCACTTTCAGAAAATTCCTTTTAAAATAAAAAAAACATGAAAATTTAATAGAAATATGAAAAAATATAATTGTACAAACTTTCATTTGAACAACAAGAGCAATAAGTTTTGTAATCAATTCAAGATTTCCTTGATTAATAACCATTGGTGGAATCTATAGAAGAATATAAATCTAACTTTTTTTTTTGTATTTTTCTTTGGACTACATACATTAAGTTTATTAACAAGTTCTTGTGCTAATCGTTGTGATCTATCACATACAAATTTTGTATCATTAAATACTACAAGTAATTGTTCATCAGTTACAATCTTAATTGAAAAGAAAAAATAATAAAAAGAAGTTGATCAGATAATTTCTCTTTTTATTTAGAATATTACTTCTCGACAGATATTATTTATTTCATCAATAAATTTTGCTAAATATTCATTTAATTTTGCTAACCATTGTACTAAATGTGCATAATCTCGTCGAAAAGCATCACTTAATGGAATTTGTCTACTTATCTAAATAATTAACAATAAAAAAAAATAAAAATAAAAAAAGAATATTCTAACTTCAAATTCTGCTTGATCATTCATTTTACGTAAACTTTCAATTGAATCACGTTTAGCACAAAGTATTCGTGATACTCGAATCTAAATACAAAAAAAAGAAAAAAGGCTATTTTTTTAAAAACTAAAAATAAGTAAAACATACAATAAGATATAACAACCGATCAGGTATTTTAGTTATAGCATCTGTCTTTTTTGACATTTCATCATCGTCTACTGTTGGAAGATCTTCTTCATCGTTATCGCTATTTAAATATTCCTAAAACAATCTGTCCAAGAAAAAAGAACACAAGAAAAAAAATCACGTCTTTTTATACTTTATCTTTTTCACCATATTTAATCGTTTTTAACTTATCCCCAAGGACAACACGTTCAAGTGGTTCTTCAGACTAAAATAGAAAAATAAGAATTTTCTTTTTTTTTTCGGTCAACATGTTTTTTTTTGTCTTTTTCCTACCATAACATCATAATCATTGATATTCAACAAACCAATATTTGAATCATCAAATAATATTTTATATAAATGATTATTATTTTCATCTCGAGAAATAAATTGTCCACGATATAAACCATATTGTGATGATCGGAAAAGTCGAACTAAATTATTTGAGGTTTTTTTTTTCTTTTCTTTTCTTTTCTTTTCAAAAAAACAAACCAATAACACGAGAACCGATTGGTAATGATGAAATAATTAAAGATGGAAGGTTATTTAAAAAGATTTTTTCTGATTGATAATGTGTTTTGCTTTCATATTGAAGGATACGAAGTAAATTTCGTTGCTTAGATAATTTAATTCTTTCATTTTTAAGATATGCTGATGATAATCTATTAATAAAAAACAACAAAAAAATAATAATTATTATTATTACTTTATTTTACACTTATTTACTATGAATAAAATTTACCTTCGAGGTTTACCAAATCTACGTCGAATTAAATTCCATTGATGTCGAGTAAATTCCAATTTTCTTCTTGAATTATTATTGTTAATAAATTCCGGAAAAAAATGTTCCATACAATTTTCAAATTCATTTTCCGTAGTAAGTAAACACCTTTAATGAAGCAGAAAAAGAATGATGTTGTTTGAATTTATACATCATAATATAGTATGACATTGATTATAATAAGTATTATAGAAAAATAAGAGAAGAAAAGAGGGGAAAAGAAAAAACAGAAAAAAAATTTTAACGAGTACCGACGGAAAAAAATAGTAGCACAAATTACACTCTTTTTTTTTCTATTTTGTCAATGTCTTTGAGAGAGAAGAAAAAAAAAGTAATAAACTAAAAGTCACTATTCTAATGTTTTTTACGATTCAACCAAAGGAAAGAAAAAGAAAGACAATTGACATTGCATTATAAAATTTTCTGAATATCCTTGAACATCACATCAAGGATTTTTTATAAGACATTATGTTAAATGTACTTGTTCGTTTGATCAATTGTCTAAGGACATATCATACTATTTAATCATTAGATATAGTTGTCTAACGTATGACCTTTTTGACAAGGATACACGAAAGTGTATACAATTGTCAATTAGTTCGCAAAGTTATTTTAAAAAAACTAACAAATATGGACATTTATATCTCATGTAAATTGATATAACCCTAAAACAAAATATTTACTTTAATTCATCTTATCGAAGCATGTCTTACGTCTGAGAATATTAACCGAATAAAAAAAAAAATATAAGGTTATAATGAAAGTAAAATAACCTCAATTGTTATTAATCGTATACGGGCAAATGTTTGCTATAGAAGCCTTTTTCCTCGAACAAACTAAACGAGTTATTTTGCTTTATTTTTACATTTTCTCTCCGATTTCTGTGACAAAACAAATGCAGATGAAAATAAGTATTGAAAAAAAAAAAAGAAATTCTCATTCTTAAAATTCCCGCATAGTGAAAAAAAAAAATTTTTGAATATCGATAAAATATTTTTAAGAATGAAATAAAAAAATGAGAAAAATTACCAATCAATATCTGAATAAAACCATTCACAAATCATCCATCGTTGAGCTTTTGCATTCAATAGAAAATGTTTTAAATGATCAACATTTATTTTCTATAGAAAATTTCAAATATTTATATTCAAATTTACATAGAGAATTACAAAAAAAATGCTAACCAAAGGGGATCTTAAGGATTTATTGAATAGTACGTCGGCTGTTGTAGTCATATTTGCCTTATTCATAATGAGAAAAAAAAATCAGCAGACATTTAGACATACGTCACTACACACAAATCGTTCTTTCAGTTTCTATTGAATTAAATTATAGACCACTGAAATTTTTATTCTTAACCTCCAATAAATTCAATATCTAATTAAAAATTTTCATTTAAAAAATAAAAATAAGTCTTTTCTGATATATTAACCAAAAAATCGATTTCTTTTACCATTCTTCACCTAACATAGAAAGTTGCGCTTATTCATTTTGATTGGTAGCATAAGAAAATAAAGAGCGAAAATAAGAAAGAATTGTTTAAACAAAGAACAAGGCAATCTAAAAAAAAAGAAAAAAAAGCAAAGATCATTTAGAACGATATTTATCTTTATAATAAAATCGAAAACATGTCTGGTTCACATGATGATAGTCTTCCACCTGAAGGTATGTTTAAATTTAAGATTTTTTTTTTATTAAAATATTAGTAAGATTATGTTTTGGTTGTATAAGATTTAAATTATTACTTCCCTTCGGTATATGTTTTAATTCATTTTCAATAAGATTTGTTTTTAATGATTGATCATTATTTGCAAAATATTTAAGAATATTTTTCTCTGTTCTTGAAGATAATCGTATTGAATTTTGTTTTTCATCATTCATATTTTGTCGCATTGCTTCACGTTTTCGTGTTCGATAATGTTCTACATTTGCCTGTGAAAACAATAATTATAGTAAATTTATGTTTATTACTAATACTTATTATGAACTCGTGAAATTACCGATATGCATGCTAAGAGGATTTTCTTTTTTCTACTCGACAAGTATCGTAAATAGAAATAAATATTTAGTTTCTTTCTAGAAAAATAAGTCGATTCGAATATGTGGTAGAAAAAAAATAGAGTTATAATTTCACCTTAGATAAAAACGTAGACGTATCGAATAATGACAAATTTATTGAACTACTTGTTGAGAAGAAAACATTCTTGTTTCTTTTGCACGATACGACTTCATCACCTGTGTATCTCGTTTTTATCAAAAGTTATAAGAAAAATACACAGCTGCCTTATTTGAAAAATGTATTAGATCCATATTCTACCAAATCTGTTACAGACTCTTTATTCTATATCTAACACCGATAGAAATTCCTAGAGAGATCAATATGGCCATTAATTACAAGTAAAGGTCATATTCTGACAGAATATATAAAGTCTGCAATCATAATCTTATATTTTTTTTCATATACACAAAAATTGGCTCAATTAGTTATTTGTTGTGCATGTCTTCTCTTTAAAAATCTCGCATCTTTGAGTTGAGTCGTTTTGATTAACGGGGCAAATTTATCAGTAGGTAGATCAACTATCCTAGTCGCTTCTTGTTATTGGTTCTATACTTCTGTTAGTTACAAAACTGAATCAACCATTGAACTTGTCCTGCTGAGAAAAGGAATTGTCGGATTCATCATAGAGCTCTGCGCGTAGTCAACAAACGTTTTTTTTTCCTAACAATTCATTTGTAACAGAAGAACATGTCTGAAATAGTACCTTTTATTTCCATATAGTCGCTGTATAAACTAATGGATGTCGGAGGTTCCAACAATGTCATGTGTGCATAAAACGAAGTCACGGTGTAATTGAACTTCGGTTTTCTTTGATGTTCATATGCTTTGAAAAGACGTTGTTAGGACTTCCCTAACGCACCAGTTTGTACAGTATATATGTCAGAGAACAAAAGCTACTGATCGTATTTTTTAACTAAAAGATTTACTAAACGCTTGAGATGGATTAAATTTCGATGTAAAAGAAAAATCATTAAATTGGAAAAAGACAAATGACGTACAATATTTGTTATATTATCTTTTAATTGAAATAATTTTGCGTAATAATTATTTCTAAGTTGAATTAATGGTTGTGTTGATTTGAATTGTGAATTGATAAGTGTAAGAAAATTATTTTCATCATCTAATAAATAATGTTGATTTGTTACAAACCAAAATTTTCCATTTTCACTAATACGATGTGCATAACGTGTTATTGTTTTATTAATTTCATTTTGATTATTAACAAATGCAACAAGAAATTGATCACCAGCTTGAAAATGATCAGAATCAACAAGAAATTCTTTTGATATATTTTCAATAATTGATTTAAAATCATTTGGTGTACGAAGAAAAACAATTGTTGGATTTAATTCTTCATCATTACTGAATGGATAATCAAGTTTAACAAGAAAATCATGAGCTTCCTTATTTATTTGACTTCTTTTAAGTTCATTCATCATAAATAAAAGAGACACACACACACACAGACAAATATTCGATTAAACTAAATGAAGGCGCGCACGTATATGTAGGTTCATGTTAAATAACACTACTACGTCTTTTTTGTGCTTGTGGTGAAAGTGCTAAGGCCATATGAATATCTTTTTCTTCTATCATATCATGAATACCTTGTCGTCCAATAGTAAATCTTGTTCCAATCCATTTTTGATTTGATATTTTAATTGTTGGTCGTACTTCATAATATTGAGCATTTGTTAATGGTTCCCATATAGATGGAATTTTTTCTTTTGTACGTGGATGATATTTATCAATAACTAAAATCCATATTATTGGATTTTCTGATGATGTATATGTTGTTAGATGACTAACTTTTGTTGATAAATCTTTTGGATTAGATAAAAATAAAAAGACAAGTTTAGCAGCAGGTTCATCTTCAATTTTTGGTGTTATTTCAATATTTAATATATTTTCTTCTTTAGCAAGTATATCAAATGAATTTTTTAATTGATTAAAACCATTTTCACCAGCTGGATAATCAAGTATATGAATTTTTTGACTTGGCATATGACCTATATCAAGATCAAATGTTGAAAGAAAATGACGTGCTATAAGAGAATTTTCTTTGGTTTCATATGGATTTCCATCATTCCACCGAAAATATATCGACATTTGATTTTCTTTTTAATATATATATATATATAAACTTCGAATAAAACAATTATTTATATCCTAAGCGCCTAATTTATAATTTAGTAGAAAAACTTTTGAGATGTTGAAATTTGACTAAGTTTCTCAACAATAAGGTGTCGGTTTACTCAAGTCATATCAGAACTAGAAATTTGATTTCAAATTTTGTACGAACAAACTTCTCGATGTGATTTAGTTGATAGTAACAATTGAAGCTTTTATAATATTTCCTTTCTAATAGTACGAATATATGAACAAAGTTTACTTTTATACAAGAAAATAGTGTATATTCAATATATTATAATAGATGATACTAAAACATGTTAGAACTTCTCAAATGAACTAGTCAAAAGAAAAATGTTCATGTATTGAGATTTGGAAATGAAAAAAAAAAAAGTTGAACTGTCTAATATGTATAAGATAAAATAGAAATTTTCATACGAAATTTATATTTTTATTTAGAAGAACAATTAAGTGAAGAAGAAAATGAAATCTTAGGTGATGATCGATCGGATATTATCAGTGAAGAATCTGGTGAAGATTTATTTGGTGATAATTTCGAACGGTAAAATTTCAATAGAATTTTTTTTAATTAGTAAATTTTTAAATTTGAAAAAAAAAACAAAAAATCTATAGAGATTATGAAGCCATCGATGAATTAGATCGATATGAAACAGGTGGTATTGATGATGATGAAGAAAATGATACAGAACTTACTATGGAACAACGTCGACGAGCTGAAAGAGAAATAAAACGACGTGAACGTGAAAGACGTCGTCGTCTTGGTCAAGAATTAAATGATGAAAGTGATCTTGATGAAGATGAAAGTCTTATTGGTTTAGTTGGAAAACGAAAACGTTCAAAAATTCATGATGATGATATTGGCATGGATGATGAATCAGATGCTTATATTAAAAATTTAGGTGATACACAAGGTCATAAAATAGCTGATTGGATACAAATGCCTGGTCCACATAATGAAGTAATTCGACATTTAAAAAAATTTTTACGTACATTTAAAATAACAACAACAACTGTTGGTGGTACAAATAAACCAATTTATCGTGAAGCATTACGTCGTCTTGTACAAGAACAAAAACAATCAATTATAATTGATTTTGAACATTTAATGTCAATGGATGAAGTATTAGCATTTTTTTTACTTGGTGCACCTGAACAAACATTAAAAATATTTCATGAAGCTTTAACTGAATTATGTTTTGAACTTTATCCAAATCATCGATCAATTGAAAAAGAATTATTTGTACGTGTTAGTAATTGTCTTCAAAATGATAATATTAGAGATTTAAGGTAAGAAGAAAATTCAAAAAAAAAAAAACAATTTTATTATTTAGAATTTGAAATTTTTAGAGTTGAACATTTAAATAAATTAATTGGTATAAGTGGAGTTGTAACAACATCAACAGGTGTTTTACCACAATTAAGTATTATTAAATTTAATTGTCAAAAATGTGGTTTTACACTTGGACCATTTACACAAAATCAAGAAAATGAAATTAAACCAGGTTCATGTCCAGAATGTCAATCAAATGGACCATTTGAACTTAATATGGAAGAAGTATTTATTGATTTTTTTTAAAAAAAAAGGATAAAGCAAATTGAACTTTTGTTTTTCATTTAGACAATTTATCGAAATTATCAACGTATATCAATTCAAGAAAGTCCTGGTACTGTTCCACCAGGTCGTATTCCACGTTCAAAAGAAATTCTTTTACTTGGTGATCTTTGTGATACATGTCGACCAGGAGATGAAATTGTATGTTAAAGAGATACTTTTGTTTTAGTTCTTAGGTAAAGAATTTGTTTTTTTTTTGTTGTATTAGGAAGTACTTGGTGTCTATAGAAATACTTATAATATTTCATTGAATATACAAAATAATTTACCAGTATTTGCAACAATTGTTGAAGCTAATTATATATCAACACGTGAAGATAAAATTTCATTTGAAACTTTAACTGATGAAGATATTCAAGAAATTCAACGTTTATCAAAAGAACCTAAAATTGCTCAACGAGTAAATAAATATTTGTTATCTTTTGCTTTTATTCTTTTTCTTCTTTTAGATTTATGCAAGTATTGCACCATCTATTTATGGTCATGAAATGGTTAAAAAATCAATTGCATTTGCTATGTTTGGTGGTGAACCAAAAAATCCCGGTATGTCTTAGAAATTCAATTAAAAAATAATCTTATTTCAGTTTTAGCGACATTTTTTGTGTTGCATATCAACTGTTGATGTTGTTTTTGAGTATAGTATCCTCGACCGTTGAAAAACTTAGTAAAAATGAATTAAGCTTAACAATATAAAACAAGAAGAGTTTGACTTCTATTAAAGATGATGAAAATATCTTGAAAAGAAATTAGTACTGATCTTGTAAGAAGTATTGATGAAGTTTTTGGCTGTTTTTTTTTCAGTGCCTGGAACAGTTAATTTTCTTTAAGATTGATTTAATTAAAAATGACATCAGTTGTCAATCGTAAAGTGGACTTTCGATTTTTTTTCTTGTGAAAAATAACATGATGATGCACGTCTTAGTAGTGTATGAAAATTTCTCAAATAACTATAAAGATTTGATCTTGTAATCAAAATAGAACAATCAATTGCACGTCTTCACAGAGTTACATGCAATATAAAAGTGTCACAAAACTTTCATTGTGTTGAATATTGTTTTAAAAGAATACATGAAGAGTGTATAAGTAATGAACATATGTAATGAGATCGAAGATAAAAATCTTTATCACCGTATAGTTCGATAGTAATTTTTTTCAATTAAAAAGTGATTTATATTGTACTATTCGACAGGTACTAATATCAATTAATATTCGATAGTAGTGTTAAAGAATAGTTGATGTTATTCTCTCCGCTATTGGTTTCACGAGTAGTACGATATAAATATCGTTACCGTGTTTAGGCGGATTCGAACGTGTACATTTCGTTATATTGATGTCTAGAACGAACGAACTAAAAGATTGATTTTCTTTATATTAAAGGTGGCAAACATCAAGTTCGTGGTGATATAAATGTACTTCTATGTGGTGATCCATCAACAGCTAAATCTCAATTTTTAAAATATATTGAAAAAACAGCACATCGAGCAGTATTTACAACTGGTAGAGGTGCATCAGCTGTTGGTTTAACTGCTTATGTACAACGGAATGCAGTTACTAGAGAATGGACACTTGAAGCTGGTGCACTTGTACTTGTAAGTTTTTAAAATATTGATTTGATTGATTTTTTATTTTTTATTTTAGGCTGATCGAGGTGTTTGTTTAATTGATGAATTCGATAAGGTAAATCATTTTTTTGTTTCCTTAATAAAAAGTTTGTTTTTTTGTGGTTTTGTTCTATTATTAGATGTCTGATCAAGATCGTACATCAATTCATGAAGCTATGGAACAACAAAGTATTTCAATATCAAAAGCTGGTATTGTAACAACACTTCAAGCACGTTGTTCAGTTATTGCTGCAGCAAATCCCGTTGGTGGACGATATGATCCAGCATTAACATTTATGAATAATGTTGATTTATCTGAACCAATTTTAACACGATTTGATATTTTATGTACTGTACGTGATATTGCTGATCCTGTTCAAGTAAGTTGTTTCTTTTTGTTGATTGTTTTATAAATAGATTTCATAAAAAATTTCAATTTAGGATGAATTAATGGCTCGTTTCGTAACAGAAAGTCATATGCGTCATCATCCATTAGCTGATGAAAATGATGCACAACAAAATCATGTAAAATATTCTATTGAATTTTATTTTTTTTTTAGTATTTTTGAACATTAATTTCTCTTTTAGGTTGTTCCTAATATATTCAATGTTGAACCAATACCACAAGAAACCTTTAAAAAATATATAATTTATGCTAAAAGACGTATTCATCCACGTATGACATCAGTTGATCAAGAAAAAGTAGCTCAATTATATGCAAAATTACGACGTGAATCATTAGTAACTGGTAGTGTACCAGTAACAGTTCGACAAATTGAATCAATAGTTCGTATTGCTGAAGCACATGCACGAATGCATTTACGTGATTTTGTTAATGATGATGATATTAATGTAGCTATTCAAGTTGTACTTCAAAGTTTTATTGATGCACAAAAATATGGTATTATGCGAACCATGAAAAAAGTACGTTCTTTAGAAAAAAAAAAGAAAAATAGAAAATAATTTATATTTTAATTTTAGGTATTTCAACGTTATTTAACATATAAAAAAGATAATAATGAATTTTTATTATTCTTATTGAAACAATTATTTCAAGAAAATTTAGCATTTCAAA